TGAACAGCTTGATGTGACTAGGTTTAATGTGGGCTTGAAGGTTGAGTATGAGACTGTCAGAGCACAAATATTGGGGGGATCAGCTCTCCCTTCACTTGAAGAAGTTTTTACCCATCTCAAAAGGACATCCATTGAGCCGATGGAACATTCTTCATTCTCTGATAGATCTGGTTTGGTAGTGACTAAAGGGAGTGGCCGTGGAAGTAGAAGTGGTGGTGGCAGCAGTGGCCCTCCAAGCAACCGTGGTGGACACATRTTTAACCGGGCTAGTGGCCGGACTGGAGGCCGAGAGTCAGGGGGAGGCCGTGGAAGAGGAAGGAGTAATGCTCAGAGAAAATGTACACATTGTGGCTTAGAGGGGCACACAGTTAATTTCTGCTATGATTTGCGTGGTCCACCCAACACTTGGGCTAACCATGCTACATCTAAGAGTAGTAGCACCATTACTGAAAGCCAGCAAACTGTCCCAACCCCCTCCACACCCGCTTGTGCTTCCGGGCAGGAAATGGTGAGTGTACCACGGGCAGTATATGAGCAGTTCCTTCAAACATCTCAGCAGAACACAGCTACACTTGCCCATTCAGGTATGGCTTGCTTGGCTTCCAAAGCCTCACCCTGGATCATTGATTCCGGAGCCTCGGACCATATGTCTGGGACTCTTGATGTATTTTCTTCCCTTTCTCGCTCCTCCACATCTCAGTCAGTTACTCTTGCTAATGGTTCTACATCTCCTATTTGTGGTGTTGGTGATGTTGATTTCTCCTCCATGCTTTTAGCATCTGCTTTATATGTTCCTAAGTTTCTGTTTAATCTTATGTCTGTTAGCAGATTAACCAAGTCTCTTGATTATTCTATAACTTTCTATCCTTCTTCTTGTGTGTTTCAGGATCTCAAGACGGGGAAGAAGATTGGTGGAGGGCATGAAGCAGGTGGTTTGTATTACCTTGATGGTGGTGGCCCCCCAGTGGCTTTTCAGTCGTCTCTTACTCCTCTCCAATGGCACTGCAGACT